GTGCGCAACGATGATGATAGTTCTTTTTTTAGAGATTAACGCGCCATCGATCTCGCGATACGAATACGAACGATGATGATTCAAAAGAAAGGAAAAAGAAAAAGAAAGAGTGAAAAGTAATGCATTAAGAAGATCGCGCGATTTCAATGCGCTCTACTCCGTAACTCTGTGACGTTCCACACCGAGCAAAGCAACTTTTCCTATTCTCTCTCTTTTCCAGTGTACGAGGAGGCGTGTTCGTTATCCCCACTAGTTTATCCTTCCACCCTTTCCTCGTTGCTTGGGTGTCCCCTCCTATCTTGCCCGGCGACAAGCATTCCAGGAACCATGGACTCTCTACTACACCGCTTTTCTCTTTCGTTCTTGTTCCTATGAAGCGCACAACGAGACGACGACGACGACGGCGACGGCGACGGCGACGACAACGACAACGACAACGACGACAACAACTACGATGACTACGATGAAGGTTTAAAGCACCTTTTCTTGCTTTCTTTCCTTCTTTTCCTCGGAGCTTCTCTTATTCCTCGTTGTCGCCGTCGTAGCCGTCGTCGTAGCCGTCGTCGTAGCCGTCGTCGTTGTGACGTCGTCGTAGTCGTAGTCGTAGTCGCAGGAACGTTCTTCTCCCCAGCAACGAGACTTTTCCTCTCCTCCCTCTCTTTCTCTTACTCTATTACCCCTATATTTCTCCTTCTTTCAGCTGACGTATACGTATCCCACTCCGTATTTCTCACACAGCCGGTGAACGAAGAGGTGTTAGTCACTTCAAGGACGTTGCTGTAATTGGGATAGGTCGGATAGACGCGTTGGCTGGGGAGGAGGGGGAGGGTAGGTACATAGAGGAAGAAAGAAAAAGATATAGATAAAGATAAAGTTAAAGATATAGATAAAGATAAAGATAAAGATAAAGAAGGAAAGAGTGAAGAAAAGAGAGGAGGAAAAGCAAGAAAAAAAGAAAGGCTGTGTGGTGCGTTTCTGTAAATGGCGGCTGGCCGGGCGTCGCGCGTCACAGCTGTTTCTGTCTCTCTTCTTGGTGTCTTTCTCTCGGTCAACCGCGCGCGCGTTAGTCGCAGACGAGCGAGCAAAGTCTTCAGTAGTGCCGAGGTGTGCGGAGATAGTAGTACGCGCGCGCGCGCGCGGTGACAGAGAGCCTACGGGAGCCCTCGCCGGTACATTTTTCGCTCAAGTGCTCTCTTTATTTATTGTGTATATGTGTTTGGTGTATGCGTATGCGTCTGTGCTACCGAAAGAAAGAAAGAAAGAAAGAAAAAGGGAGAGAAAGAGAGAGAGAGAGAGAAAGATAGATAGAGAAAAGGAAAGAAAGAGAGATAGCGAGAGAGAGAGAGAGAGAGAGAGAGAGAAAATATATCTACACACGCACGTGCCCCGATCATCTCCCTCTTCTCGTTTATTTCTTCGAAGTGTTTATTGCCAATCGTCGATCTTTCTCTCTGCAGAGGATCTAGAGTATCGAGCAACATGGAGGAAGGTGCGGTGGTTCTTCGATAGTGCTCTCAGCGATAGGCTAGAGGAGTGAGCGGTGCGACACCAGCGCCACAGGAGGATAAGGATCGTCGTGTTAGTCTCTTTCTGTTTGTCCCTCTTTCTCTCTCTCTCTCTTTCTCTCTCTCTCTCTTTCTCTTTCTCTTTCTCTTTCTCTTTTTCTCTCTCCCACTGTCTCTTTCTTTCTTTCTTCCTATCTCTTTCTCTTTCTCTTTCTTTTTCTCTTTCTCTCTTGATCTATTTTCCTGTAACTCCTATTCTCCTATGTCCTCTTGCCTTGTTGTTGTTCTTCTTCTTCTTCTTGTTCTTGTTCTTCATCTGTACGCCTTCAGCCCGCACGCACTTGCTTTTCCGTTCTCGCCTTTGTTCGATGCGAAGCATATCCACCACACCACTACCACTACCACTACCACTACCGCCACCGTTGCCACCCCCGTCACAACCACCACCGTCGCCACGTACACACGAACAAACACCACAGGTAAAGAAAACGATTAATTGAATGTTGTTGCCACGCTCGATCTCTGTGGTACAAGGAGAACAGAAAGGATGATGATTTAACGAGCTAACACCTTCCACTGGGAGAGTCCAACATTAAGATTTACTAATTTCGTTTTTGTTTGTTTCTCTAAAAGTAGGACAAAATCAATAAAAAAATTCGTATTACTAATGCACCACGTCCCGTGTTTTCACTCGAAATGATATTTCCTTTATTTATTATTATTTATTTCTTTTTTCGCATGGAAACTATTTGAACAGACCAAAATGTATATGGATTTGTATATTTATTTGACTATTATCGAGCTCAGATTAAAGTATTTACAGATATCAATTGAAATGTCTCTCTTGACAGACGAAACTTTCTCAATGAAGATAATAAAATTAGACTCTGGTTACTATATGACACGTACGTGCGAATAAGTAAGAAGAATTACAAATCCATTCTATCACTATCCTGTCGTATCCCGGAAATAGGTAGCAATGTTGAGAAAAGTGTAGGGAATGTAATGAGTTGCCAAGTACGATGTGGTGATGTGTCTGTCTGTCTTTTCAATAATTCTCGACTCCTGGTAACGACTCCGGTATCGACATTGATCGACACAGTTCTCCGTTTTAAATCTGGCGCGCTTATGTAGATATCCTCGGGTCCGATATTTCGTTATCTATCTTTTTATACGAATTACTCTCTCGAAATGACAACAAAATTCTCGATAGTGCTGCTTAACCGCGTTATTTAAATTTCCTTAGCAGAGATATTTTTTCTTTCGAGTGCATACAAGTTCGAACACGTTGTTCTTATCAGAATGACGACCAAGCTTATGAACTAAATATTATTTGTTTTGTGTTGAAGAGGAAGGGAGGGAGGGAGGGAGTTAGGGAGGGAAATGCTTAAATAAGCAATCAAATGTAAACTGTCAATTATAACATGTTTCATTATAGCAATGTCATTTATAAATACATATTATATAAAACACGGAACAGATTTATTTGTCCAGTTGCTACGGTGAGAAGCATACAAATTTCAATGTATATTTTGATCAAACATTTCTATTAAATATACACGTACCGGTGCATTTTGTCTCATTTATTTTCTTCAATCATGAAATTTAAAAAGCAAATGTTTAACCATAATAACAATGACTCATACGATCTAATTTAAAAGTATTATAACAAAGTGTCGACAAAATAATCGTTATTATCCTTAATCATAGTATTATCAGTTCGTCTAATAGTAAAAACAAAAGAAAAATGAAAGAACAGTATGACGCGGCGGCCCTGGTGATAGATGTAACTACTAACAAACAAGTAGCAAGTAAGCAGGTCCGGCAACGTTATAACGTCGGCCCTGTGTCTTTAGGCCGTACTACTACTACTACTCCTCTATTTCAGATTGGGATGGTAGCTCATGATAGCTAGAACGTAAAGAATGGAATGTTATTATTTATTTTTATTCTGTTAATATTTAGAAAAGTACTGCACGCGAGAGTACAGTGTAGTGTCAAAAAGCAAAAGAGGTAGTTTTATATGACGCATCGTCGTTGGTTGTCATTAGGAGGATGAGAATCTTTCGATAGATAAAAGCCAAGCAAGCAAGCAAGCAAAAGAAGGTGCATTCCCGCTTCGGCAGCGACCGCGTGTCTACTCCGTACACGATGTTCGGCGCGTATACGCGCGACCGACTGGCTCACGGCTGGTGGAGTAAACCGGGGGTAAGGTTTTAGGGTAGGGAGAGCGTAGCGACGAGGAGGAGAACGTAGATGCGCGCGCGTGATCGTTCGGTTGTAAGAGCTGCCGGAGTGTAAAGCGGGTTCAGTTGAGCAACCGAGAAGTCCGAGACTGTACGTACGTGATCGTCGTCGTGCGGCGGGGTGGCAAGAAAAGAGGAAGAAGGAATGAATGGGTGGGGGAGAGTGTGAACGAGGCGTCGCACAGCGACGACGACGACGGCGACGACGGAGACGACGACGACGACGACGACGACGACGGTAACGGTGATGACGAGTTCGAGCACACATACTATACATATATAGAAAATACCTATCTATTAAAAAATAAAAAAGAGAGAGACAGAGAGAGAGAGAGAGAGAGATGTCAATAATTCGTAGGTGGAACGTTTGTGATTCTCATTGGCGTACGTAGTAGCGTATTGGTTAAATTGAATTCGCCAAAGCGTAGAATAATCGTATGAGTGACCGACGACGACGACGACAACGACAACGACGACGACGACGACGACGACGACGACAGTCTTCCTCTATTCTCGCTTCCAATCTTCTTGTCCTATACCGGTTAGATGTTATATACGTATCAATGTTGCTAGACTATTCCATTTTTCTTTCGTAGTGTGTGTTTTTATACATGATATGTATGTGCATGTGTATGAGATCTAACAAAAGAAGGAAAGTCGTGTCCGGACTCTCGGGGGGTAAAGAAGAAGAAGCAGCAGCAGAAGAAGAAGAAGAAGAAGAAGTGGTGAAGGAGGAGGAAAAAGGAGTACGGTGTGTTCCGAGTGCTTCTTTGCGAACCCGATAATTGCCTCGGAATTTACCAGTTCTGGGCACCGCGTTCTCAGTGTGTGTGTATGTTATATTCGTATGTGCATGTTACGTGTAGGTGTACTCGTGTATATTAGCCCTACCATTTGTGTGTTCTTGTTCATCGTGTTGTTCCTCTATTTTCTTCTTCTGATCTTTTGTTCGAGACATTGATGGTTAGTGACCGAATGAAATAGAATAGCCGAAACTGGCGCCTAGGAAGGAGAACGTCGTCGTAGTGACAGATTACGAGGACGAGGACGAGGACGAGGTCGGTGGCGGTGGCGGTGGCGGTGGCGGTGGCGGCGACGGCGACGGCGACGGCGACGGCAACGGGTAGTAGTGACCATAGGCAAGCAAGCAAGCAACCAGGCAAGCAGCAGGACCCTGTATCCAAGAGAACCTCGCATTCTGCGTGAACTCGCTCTTTCAGTGCTCCTCAACATATAGGTGTGTGTATGCGTGTAATGTGTATGCCTCTCTCTCCAAGCTATCCCTGTGGATGGTTGTATGTGTGTGCTTTTCTTTCGTGACTTACTCGCGCGCATATATCTATATATACAACAGAGAGTTGAGTACTTATACGTTGGGTTACGTGTGTGCGCGCGTGTAAACGTGCACGTGCGCACGAGCTTTTATAATGTGTCAGTGACTCCCATGCCCGTGGTAAAAGCAAGCAAAGTAATTCGTCCTTGCTACGAGTATCTACTACCTCTACTCTAGGAGTCAGTATACGTCGCCTATAGCTTCTATTTATACGACGACTATACGCGTCTCGCACTTTCCTCGTCGGTCTCCTCTCTTTCTCACTACTACCTTCTTGTTTCCTCTCTCATTCTTCCCCTGATCGTACTCTCAACCTTTCGCTCCCACCTTCTCCTCTTACATTGACTCTCATCGTCCCACCAGTTTTCCCCTTTCGCGTTGGCATCCCCTCTCTTCGTTTCGAACAGCAGCGTCGCTCTTGTCCCTTTCGCTCGCTCGCTCTTACTCTCTTTCTCCGACTCACTCATACACAACACACACACAACACGTATAGAAAACTTGTAGCGAATTCACCAGGAACGACGTGTTGTGTGTGTGCGTGCGTGTGTGTGTGTGTGTGGTGTCCGGCGGCAACCCACCGACCAACCGAACGGATCCGATTCTCCGTTCGGCTTGACTCGCAACAGAAAAGAGATGGCCGGTGAACGGTGAATCGTGTCACGCGTCCACCCTTGTACTCTCGTGCATACTAGCGTATGCGCGGAATGTGCCACCGGGAACACAATGGGTTTATTGTGTTAGTGAATAATAATAGTAACGCTGTGCGCAGCGTCAGTCCGTCGTTGCTGCCGCCAACGACGGCACTACTACATTTTACTACACTACTCTACTACTACTACTTACTACTACTACACTTTACTATTACTACTACTACACTTTACTACTATTACTACTACTACTACTACTACGTAAAACAGCAGAAGAGGACAAGTAAGATTACAACCAAAGTACTTGCTACTAGTAAAGCACAACTTCTAGATACGATATGCGTTCGTGTGGTACCATGTTTGTTTTTGATTGTAGTATCGAGCTTTTTGATCGGAGAAAATTCTTGCTTCGTATTTCCCAACTATCTCTCATTCTCCATTACGACGAATAAAATCGAAGCTATATTCTCTGGTATCACACGTTGCATAGTTTCCTGTCTCTCTCTCTTTCTCTTTCTCTTTCTTTTTCTCTTTCTCTTTCTTCCACTTTTGCCTTTCATTTCACGCGCCCACACAGAAACGCGCGCGCATGCACATGCTACACACTATATAACTATCTTCCCTTTTCACTCTTCCAACCTCTTTTCTCTCCCGTCTAATTTCTCTCCATTTTATCGTCTCTCCTTTCCTTGCATCGCATTTATCGTCGTACACCTCGTGCTGCTGCTGCTGCTGCTGCTGCTGATGCCGCTGCTGATGCTTCCTTCGAGAGTATTACAGTTTCTAGAGACCCTTGACCGCACGAAATTTGATGCTGTCGTAGTCGCTCAGTTGACTACATTAAATGTCCCTTCGTCGAAATTCCTTTTTTTCAGTTGACTGACATTAGTATTTACTATATCTGATAATTGTTTAATAGTAATCATTTGTTTCTGTCAAATTTGTGCTTGATCATTAATTATTCTTAACACGAAATTAGATCGTAGGTCGTTTTAATATTCTTTCATGTTAGTTAGATAGCTTCGTGGTATTATAAATCTAGTAATGTATACCTAGTAATTTCCTAATGAAATATATATATATACATCGGATTTTCTTACCTTAGAGAGATTTTACCATTTTACTGAAAACGAATCGATGCTCCTGGGCCAAGTTTAGACTTGGTCGTACATCTTAAGTAGAACGTTTAATCGAATCATTAAAATCTTTCTTTTTCTCTTTTTTTTCTCTTTCTTTTTTTAATTGGATTAGCCAAGTAGGGAACATCTATTTTAAATGTGTGTAACCTGCTACGTCAAAGTTTTGTTGTCATCGTCATCGTCATCGTCATCGTCGTCATCCGTTAATTGACAAAATCTCTCGTGTACGTCGATTTCTCTTCCCTTATTTCGTAAGAACCGTCATAAATAGAAATTGCATATGTATATATATATATATATATATATTTTATTTATACATGATATTTAAATGATATACTTTAGCGATAGTGAGAATTGTACGGAATTGACTGACCCGCGTGATAGTCTGCGGTATAGTCGATAAATTATGATAGACGGACGATAAACTTGTATCAATTTATGAACTTCCTTCCTTTCCTCCTTTTCAACCTATCGTAAGTATAGGAAAAAGATTCTCCTCACATTTTCTTCGGTTTTATTATTGTACTTTACAAAAAGGAAGAAATAGACAAGAAAAATTGAGAGAGAGGAAAGGAAAGGAAATGGCAGGGGTGAATTGTCTGAAAGATGAGACCTTAAAGCAATCAATTTTTAAATGATTCTCTTAAATTAAAAAAAGAAATGTTTTTTAAACGTTTTTTTTTTTTTTTAAGGTGTAGAAATTGAATTAGGTACTATTAATAAAATATCTAAAATAAGTTTTAAAAAGGGCCACTATAGTTCATTTCTACACACATGCATGTGTGTATAATATATTATTATATATCAAATTATAATACACACAATTGCTGTTATATATATATGTATAAGAAATTACTTTGTTGTATATGTATAGAGAGACACACGCTGCATGTATTGCACACAAATATTATATATACATAGAAGAATCTGGTTAAAGGTAGTAACGAAGTTTTAAATCGATCGTCGTCGTCGTTTTGTCGTGGGACGATAAAGGAGGCGTGCGTTTCTTGACTCGTTTTAACGTGTCTTAACGTGTCTTAACGTGTCTTAACGTGTCTTAACTTGCACGTTCTCTTCTTCTTCTTCTTCTTCTTCTTCTTCTTCTCCTCCTCCTTCTTTCAACTTCGACGCGATCTGCGAATATTTCTCTGTTGGGTTCGTTGATCCGTTTCACCATGCCGCCGCCACCGCCACCGCCGCCACCACCACCACCACCATGCTTTGTGATTCACATCATTTCTTTTACCTTTTTCTCTCTCGTTTCTTATTGTCCTCAGTCACCATCTCTGTCTATTACGTCCTCCACCCTTACCCCTATTCCCATTCTCAACCCTAACCCTAATCCTGTATCTTTCCTCGCTGTAGTTTTATTCATCTTACGATTCCTCTTGCTCATCATCATAAACGACCACCGTGGCAAAAAACCACTAGCAAAGTCTTTTGCGCATTCGCACGATCGTATTGGACGATAATAACGTATCCGATAAAGTCAACCACCAACACGCTGATGGGGTTGGGTTGTGACAAGGTTTTTATTAAAGGAGAAAAGAAATGCACGCACGCATACTATTTTCAATCGACACGTTGTGTAACTTTTGTGTTTAATCTAATGCGCGCGCGCAAACATGTTACGTCGGCGGGTGTAGTACTACGCGTTGTGTATATTTGTAGTAAAACTCCTCCTCCTCCAAAATTTGACTTGAGGATTTAATTTTAGTGGATTTTTAAATATGACGCCACTCAGTCTTCATCTTCTTTTTCTCCTTTATATTTCTTTTATACTATTTTTTGTATATATATATATATATATATATATATATTGGGTTGGCAAGAAAGTTATTTCGGTTTTCTAGTGTGAAATATTATTTCCTTGCCAATCCAATAATATTATATATATATATATATATATAATNTTCTCCTTTATATTTCTTTTATACTATTTTTTGTATATATATATATATATATATATATATATTGGGTTGGCAAGAAAGTTATTTCGATTTTCTAGTGTGAAATATTACTCTTTCTTGCCAACCCAATAAAATATTACTTTATATATTTTATATTATTATTATTATTATTTTCCTTTTCATACATTCATTATCTTTCTTGTATTTCAACTGAAAATACTATCTATCTATAAAAGAAACAATTCATTCTCGTGTAAATATAATTTGAATTAGAAGAAACTTTGGTTTCTTACGAAACAACATTGTATGTTTTTATTTAATGTACGTAATCAATATGTTTGATTTAAAATCCAGTATTTGATAGTAGTATGTGAATATAATACTTGTGTTTGTTCTTTCTTTCCTTCCTTCTTTCATTCATTTTGTTTTTTATTTTTTGTATTTGTTATTAAAAGGATTTGTAACATTTTATTTGCACGACCAATTACATCCCCTATAATTGAGGAGGGGGTGGATTGGTAGAAGGAATTCGAGTAAATTTGTTATTTCGTTTTACTACGTCAAAATGAATGATTCAACCAATATTTGTAGTACTATGTAAATGTGATGATGCATTCATATGTATATATATGCACGTATTTTTACGTACTGTCTAGCAGACATTCAATGTTTTTCTTTTTTTCTTTTCTTTCTCTTTTCTTTTCTTTTCTTTTTCTTTTTCTTTTTCTTTTTCTTTGACTATGTCTCCCTTCGTGTTTCTTTACGTACGAGAATACTAAACTGAGTGAATTGTGTCGCAACCGATGTTGCGATTATAAACGTGCTGCTTATGCTTTTATGCATAAGCTTTGTATAATATATTACTACGAATTTAACTTTAGAATCGAATTAGAAATACGACATTTGTTTTGTTTGTTTTATTTCTTAAATTCATAATTATGTTGAAATTTCAGCGAGAAAATGAAAAAGAAACAAAATATAGAATATTCCAAAGGAATACATATTTCTTTTCTTTTAATTGTTCGCGTTTCAATGGAGACACCACCCTGTTGACTTAACAAACTAAACTCGATGACCTTCGCGACACTGTAATAAAATAATATTAAATTCATGTACACACAAGGAACCATCATCCTATACAACACTCTACTTGTAGGTAGGATTGACGTAACGCATTCACATGCATATATGCATGTGTGTTTGTTCTCGCGTAGAATCTATCTTCTCTAGTATAGTAACACGAACTGACTGGTTGGTTATTTTGCTTGCGCGCGCACGTGCACTATAACCATCAGGTTAGTAGATACAAGGGAGGCAATCTTTATATATTCTTTTATTATATTTATTATTAATATATTTCATTGACAAATATACAATATAGTACATTTATATTTAAATACATATAATGTGCGATAATATATATTTACTATAATTACTATAGTAGTAGTATTACTATATATATATATATATATATATATATATGTAATACGTCGATCATACTATTTTGATCGTCATGTCGTCTTATAGTACGCATCGCGTGTAAAGAATGAACTTCTTCTTCTTCTTCTTCGTTTACTTCGCGATGTGAATCGTGAACGATGTGAAGTTTATAGATAGTATATATCGAAGAATTTTCAACGAATAATTCCTTTCACTATATCTCTCCACAAACCAACTTTCATTCATTGTACACTTTAACAAGTCACGTTACAATTTCTATAGAAATATCTTTTATCGTTGAGAATAAGAAAGATATATATATTTGACGTGATTCTTTTTTTTCTTTTCTTTTTTCTTTTTCTTTTTCTTATTCTTCTTTGAAATAAGATGAACAAAATCAGAAATAAAAATACTATTCGCGTTTAGGTATATATATATGTATATTGTGTAGTTCTTGGGTGACCCTTTTAACCATTCGAAAGAGATTTAACGTGTTAGTATTTTTCAATTTTGTGTTTCTTAACCTTTGAAGATCAACGTTTTTGTAGAAACGGTTTAAAAGTAATAATATATCACCGTATATATATATATATATGTATATTGTGTGTTTGAATAGTTTTGAAATTCTACCAAATGTCACAGAAAGGACTAAGTTTTGATAAAGAGAAACAGAGACAGAGAGAAACCTTGTAGTAAATCGATAAAGAGAGTTCACAATTTCTCAATTTACTCTCGTCAAAGTTCATTTTAATTTTTCCCTTCACGTTGTGTGATAAGATCGATTAACGTAAATC